CACTGTGTACCTTCATCAATGTACACAGATCAGACTGTCAGATAATGGTGCCTGAAAGCTTTCTCTGGGCAGACATGTTTCCCTCTTTCTCTTCTTAATAAGCAAGTTGACATGATAAATTTTCTCATGTGTTATTTTGAGTATAGATTTCTCTATTATTCTCTATTTTTTGTCAAAGTAATTCAGGGTGTAGGTACAATAAACAAATTTTTATTTTTTTCTGTTTTGTGTTATATATTACTTTAAAATTTTACATAAGACTTTGATAAGTTTTCTTTTATTTTTATGATCATAAGTATACTGTTTTCCTTTTTTTCCTCCTTCCAGGTCTTCCCACATACCCATCCTTTCTCTTTCAAATCATTTCCTCTGTTTTCATTGATTGATGGTGTGTGTGTGTGTGTGTGTGTGTGTCGGTGTTTGTGTGTATAGTTACATATTCCTAAATACAATTTGTTCAGTCTGCAAATACAGTCTATTACATGTATTTCAGGCTGACCATTTGATATTGAAAATCCAATTTGTTTACTCTTTCCTGTGGAAGACTATTTCACTTATTCACAGAATTTTTAATAGCTCATAGTTTTCTCTGTGTAGTCCTGAGGCCTGCTGGACTTAGCCACTTTAGCATGTCAATGTTTTATCTTTGTTTAGTTTTTTTAAGCCATTCATGTTGGTGAGACATTATTAGTGTATCTTCTGATAATTTTGACACTGAACCTTTTAGAAGTCACCCTTCTTCTTAGTTTCTATTTCTTTCTTATCTATGTAGAACCCAGTGCCAAAAAGTTCAATGAAAGTGGGGTTAATTTTTCTAAGAAGTATCTATTCTTATAGTTTAAAGAGTAATTTATTATGTCATTTCCTCTAGACATTTCTTCTGCTAATTACAACCAAGTGGCATCTTCATTCACAAAGAATAAGATTCCTGCCCTGTTAAACATATATTTAAAATATTCACCTATAGGTCCCAATAGGCAAAGAATCTTACAAATCACAATCTTTTATTTTTTATTAATGAAGAAAGTAAGGGATCAAAAGTCTTCTGCTTCTCAGCTTTCCATCATTTGCATCATCAAAGAGCCTCTCATGCTCACAGAGGTCTGAGGGTTGGTGTTTTCTTTACTATACATAATTTGCAACCACAGTATTGTACAAAAGCTTCACTGAAAGCCACAAATATTACAAAGACAAATGAGTCTTTTCACACATTTGTATGTTCAAAATGATCTTCCTGATTGAGCATAAATGTTTGATTGAAATTCCTGTCATTGCAGATCTGACTCAACATCTGCTAATTGGCTTTCAGCTAATGGATTTAGTAAGCCAATATTCATGTTCAGGAGTCAACCTGTCTCTGGATCCATGCTTACAACACTGACTTTTCTTTGACTTGGTAGAATCAATAGCTACATCATAGTTAGACCCAGTTAACTTTGTAGAAAAAAAGTTATTACACTTACTTTACTAATAGTCTTTGTACTAATGAAAAGAAAACAGAAGGAAATTCCTAAATGTAGTCCAGGGCAAAATTTAACTTTTCTTACCCTGATGTGAATTCCCATATTATTCTGAACCATGCTTTACAGTTAATACTTAGCTGACAATATCAATTTTTCTATCATCCTTGTGTTCACTCTGCCTGCAAGGCATCTTCTCTACCTTCTATCGTATCTCTCTGAATGATAAAGAATGTTAGGCACCCTCTCTTACACTGCCACAATATAATATATATCCCATCCTCCTTATATAACCCCAAAGCAAGTTTTGATGACAGAAATTAGAATTATTTTTTCAGAAGGAAGTAACTGCTTTGTAGGATTAAATTTGATATTATTTTAGAAAGTTAGTAAAATGTATGTGTAAATTAAAGCCCAACCATTATTACAAAGCAATTATATAATATTTATTTATTGATGGTTTTAGTTCATCTCTCTCTGCAGTAGGTACAAATGGAGTAGGTGTCCTATGCTTAGGCTTTCTCAGCTTTTCTCCGTTAAGAACCAAATGACCACAGGCTTGTACACTCACCTTGCAGAAATCTAAATACTGTGTCAAAAGATGCACCATATCCCAACAGAAACTACAGCATGCTGTACTCAATCCCACTACCCCTTAATCATGGAAAACATAGCAGGTGTTCAAAATGTTCATTCCGCCAGTCTTTCATAAATGAATGCCTTTTCTTTATACCTGTGCCACACTGTCCTGTTGACCTCCCTCTTCCTAAAATTTCAGTTTCTTTGTGATCCCTCTGCCACTTTCCTCTTTGAAGTTTCTGCCCACTCTTCCATTCACCCTTTGTCATTTTCATTGCAAGCTCTTGTGCTTCAATATTTCTGTCTATATTCTGTTGCCTGGCTACAGCATTTATTTCTAGTGTTTAAGCAAGGTTTGAGACAGGCAATCCTACTAAGTGTTTCTCAGGGCAAGAGACGGTCATGCCTGTGAATATTTGGAGTTTTCTACATCCATTTATTTTGTCACAGCAGAGAAAGGTTCTTCTGGATTACAGTGAGTGATGAAGATTAGTGATGACAATAAACATCCCTCCTATGGAAAGAACAGTGGGACAAATTAAATGACACAGTCCCAAATTCAATAGTGCTGAAGATTATCAAATATGATCTAGAGATATACTGGACAATTCCATTTGAGCATCCTTTAGAAACACTAAACTCAATGTATTCCAAGGAAACATCTTTTTTCCCGTCTTCACTGTACTGTGAATTTTGATTTAATGCAGTAGCTTCGAATATAACAATAGCCTTACCTACAAACACTCTTCAAATATGCAAATATTCCTGAAAATATGATCTAGATACAATGAAGACTGTCCCTTTTCACTTTTTGGCAACTATCTACTGAGTCCAGGATCATCTTATCTCCACCAGGATCATCTTACCTACACGCTTTGGTCCCAAGTGTGACGTATTACCAGTGTAACCCATATGTCATCAAAAGGGTAATATGCTAGTTGACCTGAATCCTTTGCTGTGGCTTTGGACCACTAGGTATTGCTTACTGGCCCAAAGGGTTTTTCATTAACACACCTACATTGATCTTTTAAATCTTCTTTCTGTATCTCATAACCCTTCGTCCTGAGCCTCTCATCAAATCTCTACCATAAGCATGTGATTTATAAATATAAAATTAAATTAAATTCCTTTAACTCTTTGAATACATGCCTTTTTCACGTTTCTAGCTCTTTTAAAAATTATGATAAATTTAAATGAAAGCAAGTCAGTATGTTACCAACTTTAGAACAAATTCCAGTCATTTTGTCTCTGCTTTAGTTCATACTAGAAGGGATCTCTTCAGTCATTCTCTGCAAATAAGTCATATAAAATAGATAGTAATTTATCCTATAAATGTTATTAGTTACCATTGTTTTCATTGATGGCCATACTAGCCAAAAACTTTACCTCGGTGCAGATCAAAACAAATAACAATTATTCTAACAAAGATAATATTATTATATTCCTGTTGGGGCACAAATGAATGGGGGAAAGGGTTATGAGGAGTGTCTGGGATGGTAAGATATATGAGATAGCACATTCCATTTTAGTATCAATTATTTTACTGTGAGGCTGTGGGTGACTTAATGTGCATATTCCTCATTTGTAAAACTGGAATAGATTTGACATATCTTTCAAGTTATGATAATCATCTGGATTCTAAATATTCATTTCAAAAAAGCACTCAATTTCTTAACAATCATATTAAAATTGTCCTTCTGAAAGTGTTTCTCTCACCCTTTGGAGAATCTTTTGTCTTCTCCCATTTTATATCTATCCATTATTTTCTTACAACTGCCAGGATCTTGAATGAGTTTCTTCTGTTAAGAAATCCAATAATATAGCAAACATGTAAGTTAATCCTTTCCTTTAGTGACTTTTTCCAGATGGCACATTTTGGAAAGAACTACTAGCACACATCCACATCTCTAGAGGTTTCCATTTAGTAATCCAGTAGGTCAAAATGGTACTTTTGGATTCTTATGTATTTGTTATGGACATAGATGAATTGAATTTTTATTGAAACTCACAGGTTAACTTAAGATAATGCTATGCTGTAAAGAATTGAGCTATACATACAAAGTAAAATTCTAAAGCTTCTTAGAAAATGCTCTGATTACATTTTACTTCAAAAACAATAGGTAAAACTTTATTTAGATTTTAAAGCCAAACTATTAAACAAAGCAATTATATCTCATTTAAGGAAGTGTGAGTTAAACCTGTCTCCTGCTGTGTGTACTAGCAATGTTTGTATGATGATTGGTTGGTTTCTGACATTTTCATCTCAGGGTAGTTTCTTAAGCTGCTGCATCTTGCTATAATAGCTCTAGCCATACAAGCACATAATTATGTACTTGGCATGTTTGTGCAGAAATGAATACTTAATCTTCTCATTGGAAACGGCTACATGATTAGAAATTAAATTCTTTCTACACCATTCTCAATAGCTACCCTCTGTTTTCCCATGAGGTTTTAAGACAGTTCTAGAAGTTATAAGCCTTCTCTGTGGCTTCGTAAAGAGTCCTATTTCCCAAACTGAACAAAAAGCCACTTTTGATTTATGAATAAAAATACTCCAGAGTTACTACAACCTTAATAATATCAATAATAAGAGGAAAATATTTATGTATATAAGGAATTCTGCCTTTAAAATTCACAAGATTGGTACTCTTTTAATTAAAAAAAATGTTTTCATCATAATAGATTACCAAGAAATACTAAAGCACAATTAATATATTTCAATAATTATTAAAATGATTTATAAAAGGGTTTTATGGAAGCTTAAAGTCCATATAGTTACTAGCCTTTAACTTTTATAATTTCTTCCATATAGAATACTGCTTCTCAGATTATGGTATATTATCAACAGATGGATAAACTATAAAGATCTAAATTACTAAATTGGGGAAAATTTTGGCACTTTCTGTAAGAAGACTGATGTGGTTTAGCTTTGACATGTACTTTATCACCCGAACATTCCAGATCTACGGAAGACATTTGAGCAGGAACCCCTGGGAAAGGAAGTATCCTTGGAGCAGGAAGTCTTACTCCAGTGTCGGCCACCTGAAGGGATCCCAGTGGCTGAGGTAACAAAAATGCATTGCATTTAGCAGTTGGCACTTAGTTATTCTAACAGAGGCCTAACCCATGGCTAATGGTGCAGTGAATTAGGACATGGCATGATAGATGGTTGGTAATGGAGTCCAAACTGCCTGCTGCTGGCAAAACAGATTGATTAGGAACTGATTAATGACTTGGAAGTCAATTAGAATGCCCCACTGGACAAAGCCACAGGCAGTGTGGTTTAATTTTATCATTCTCTTTCAAAACAATCAGAAATAGTGTTTTACTTTATCTGGCGTCTATAGAAAGAGATGCTGTGACTTAATGCGCCATCAATTGTATGACTGCTTCAGATGACTTTTTAAAAAATGTAAATGTAATAAAGATATGTGTCTGTCCTTTGAGCTTGCTCTGTACATGTGTGTTTCTCAGTCTATGATGTCATTGTTGAGATCAGAAAGTCAAATCCACTGTCATAAACATGTTCACTTTCATGCAGTGATATTTCTATCAGTTTACTCCATGTTTTTATTCTGCTTAAAAGAAGCCTATCAACTGCTAATGAAATATTATGAATCAGATTTTTGGCATGACTTTTCATTATCAGCAATATATTGCTCTTTGAAAAGGGCTGTATTTGAAAACATTGCCCTACATGACCCACAGGAGATGGCATACTGTCTTGGGAACACATACCATATTACTACAGCATCCTGTCAAAGGAAACTAATACCATGTCCTTCATTTGTTACCAAATAACTCCAAAACTCTAAAACAATTTTCCATTTACATGACTAATAGAAAATCATCTTATATTATCCAACATGGTTATCATTGCTGCTACAATGTTCTACAAATTGAGATGTACTTTCACTTGTTAAGTAACAAAGCTGCTTATTTGTTGATAGTCCTTGCTAGGCTCTAGACTTCAAAAAGTCATTTGAAGGATTTACTCAATATTGTATACGTGCAAAGAGGGATATGCCAGTTGTTGTCATTCAAACCCACGCATGGACTTGGTTGACATGGATCAGCTCATTTTTCATACATTAGAATCTTGAAGTTCTGCCTCTCCAATGAATCAAAAAATTAATATTGAAACTTTTAAGTGATTAATCATAAGGAATTCATTTTACTATTTGTTTTCTATGGGCTTTCCAGTCTCTTGAAAATTGCTGTAAGGTAGCACTAAAGTAGCTAGCCCAAAACTGAACATCTGATCCTTCTGAGTTAATACTGGCAATAAATTATTTGAAAATATATGCAAAAGGACTCCATTTTCCTGCCAAAACATTTATATCTCTGTTACTTAATGCAAAATCACATATAGCCTTGTTTTATCCTGAAAAAAATAAAACAATTTTTCTCAGAATTAGCATTTCAGGACTCTTCAGCACCATATCACAAATTGCAAGATTATCACTCACTATCACAAAAGTACATCCAAATCTTGCAGCCTCAAAGCACATGCTATGACTTAGTGTGGCTGAAATTAAGGGCACTCTTTTCTATACAACATTTTATTTCAGTTATGCAATAGTACAGCTGTCTCTTTACTTGTGGTTCTAAGGCAAACTTCTTCCAGAAGCCACTGTGATGTTCTAAGCATCCTATGAGCAACACAGACATCTGTAGTTTGGCTTTTACTCAAGGGAACTTAAAAGCAGCTGGTCCTTGGAAAATCATACAGAGAGAAGATCATGGTATTCTTTTTTTTTTTCAGTCTTAACAAAGTAGTTCACTTTGTCAAGGACCGAAGATTCATGACTTCAAACTAATTGGCTATGAATTTTATGTGTATCATCACTTGGGAAGAGTCTAATTAACATTTGGAAAGCTCAAAAATCATATACCCACTTGACATTCAAAGAACTATATTTTATACATATTACTTTTTCTTTCTATTTTTTTTCAGTCAGTGTAGAGATCAAACATACATGCTTAAGAACAAGTTAATAAATTCCTGTGTAGATTTTTTTGACACCATTAAAATTACCAAGATCAGAAAGCCAATGGATGCCTGCACATGACACTTTCTGGCTGCTATTTGCTCAAGAGCAAAAGAAAAATGTAAAATGAAATGAAAGGTAGCCCGGGAGTTAAGAGATTATTTGATCATTTTTAGTTTCAATATAAATGCATTCAGTGTATTATTTTCATTTATTTGTTTATGGAATTTGAAAGCATAAAGGTGATATCAAATAAGAGGTTGATCTTAACAGAAAACCTGCACAGATAAAAATGCATCTGCTTTATGATCATTAGATCAGCCTCTAAGGAGGTCAAACTAAATAGATGCTTTGCTGCTGTCCAAAGCAACTACTTCTGGAAGAAAATCAGCCGTGACTGTGCAGTGAGCACATGGCTGATCAAGTCAACTTGTCTTTGCTTTATATGTATGTGGTTGGTTTCCTGAAAGAAGATGCACTCATTGCAGATTATCAGGAAGTAGTACTTTTCTTCTAGCTAGTTAAACCAGACACCTTTTAAATATTCTAACCCCAATCATGATCACATTGCATTTGTGCATATAATCGCATAGGTGTTGCCGAGGTGGTAATAGCTGGTACCTCCCCTATTTGGGTATCTGATAATCTCTTCATGGAGCAGCAAGTGAATTTCCTTACAAATTTCATGTTTAAATCCAAGCATGATCATATTTTACTCTCCGACTTTAGGTAAGATATTTAAATCCTTTGCATCCAGATTTTTCAGTCGTATAAGTAAGATATGATTTATGCATTAAATGTTTGATAATTAATAGCATAGATTAAAAAGGCATTTTAAACATATGTAGAGGCATAAAGGACTAATATTTATACTATTATTATATTGTTATTAGTTCCCAGAAGATTAAACTCAATGTCATAACATAGCCACTGATTTTTTCTCACCCTAAGCACTCTGGGAGACATGGCAGAGGAAATTCTGCTGTGTGAAAAATCACCAAGATGCCTCCTATATTCTACAGCCATTGATTAGCTTGGAGACCATTAGTGCTACAGATGAATGTGACACCTAAAACATGACTATACCTTTCACTGATGCCAATCAGATCACCTGCCCTATAATTTTTCTCATTGTTGTGACCAAATACCTGACAAGGAGTAACTTCAGAGAAGACAAGTTTATTTTAGGTGAATAGTTTTTTTTTGAGGGGGGGAGGTTCAGTCAAATTCAATGTAGAAAACATTTAAACAGAAGCAGGGATCAATGATAGCTACATTTATCGCAGTTACAGTCAGAAAAAAGACAGGAATTGGGGAGTATATTATAAACCCCAACACTCACCTACCCCTAGTATAAGGAACCCCAATACCTATCCCCAGTGACTCACTTACTCTAGTAAGCTTCTACTTCCAAAAGGTATCACAACCTTCCAACTGTCAGCCCGGAGAAAAGTATTCAAATACATGATCCTATGGGGAACATTTCACATTCAAGCCATAGTAGAAGCAAATGTCATGAACTTCTACTGTCCTCGCTAAATCGTTAGTCACTGTCATTCATCCAGTCCTCCTTGTACCAAGAGTCCATAGCCCTTGTAACTTCTCCCAAGGAGAAAATTTGAGCAGAGTTTACTCTTCATAGATCTCCTTTTAGATTCCAAATGGCAAAAATATTAAGTCTCAAAGAAAGAATGAATCAGCCAGAACTTACTTACAGTTCATCCTCCCACAAGTGGCAATGACTTTGAGTGCCTTCTAGGAGTAATTGGTTATAGTAAAATGTTTTGATCTCAGAAATGATTCAACAGGGTTTAGAACTCTAGACCTTAGTGTTTTTTTCCTCTAATCTCCTCTTTGTATTCTTTGTTTCAATATTCTTTGTGACTAGAGGCTTTATAAATATGTAATAACTGTACAACTTCCATATCAGAACTGAGTTAACATTAAATGCCAGGTGAAAGTGAATGTGTAGCTGGATAAATGGTAGCTCATAGTTGACATAATTTTATAATTGTGTGGAAGTTCATCTATTTATTCTTCTGATTGTATTGTGAAGAAAAGGAACACAAAGTTAGGGTCTGATTTTATCTCTAATGACTGCAAACTAGAGTTGATTATTGATTCTCCAAATATTTTAAACATACTTGAGCAATAAATGAAGGTATGTTTGATATAATAGAAAGGCTGCCCTTCAGGAAATAAAAATTTCTACAAAAATGTTATCTTTCACCCATCAAAGTTTCTTAGTTTGGGTTTCATTGCTGTGATGAGACACCATGACCAAGGCAACTCTTATAATTGGGGCTGGCTTACAGTTTCAGAGGTTCAATCTATTATCATCACGATGGGAAGTATGGCAGCATCCAGGTACACATTGTGCTAGAGATAAAGCTGAGAGTTCTACATTGTGATATAAAAGCAGCAGGAGACAGTGTAACTCAGTATGTATAACCTCAAAGCCATACCTACTCCAACAAGGCCACACTTCCTAACAGTCTTACTCCCTATGGGCCCAGCATTCAAACACATAAATCTATGGGGGTGATACCTATTCAAACCACCACAGTAGGATAACCCATTTAGAGAACCCGATGGGAGACAGGGGGATCCTTTAGTCTGAACCTTCAGAGCATGATTCCAACTTACCAGGACTAGGAATAAAAACAATACTTGGGAGATACTTCAGCCCAAAGATCCCAGAAGGCACTAATAATAATACCACTACAGTTACAAAGTAGACAATTTAAAAGAAAGAAACACTAACCCCAGAAATACTACTGGATTGGTATTACTTGGTATTTTTAATAGCACATTTCCTGTGGTCAATCTAAAAATAATTCTTTCTTTCCCTTCCTGATGGGATTTGACTACATTTCAATAACAAGTCTATCTCCGTATTTCCCTGAAGAAACAAGAAAATTAATTTGATGTAAAATGTGTGCTGGGCCATTCCCAAGGCATAATAGCAGCACTCTATGAAAATTAATCCCTTTCTACTCATTTGAGTTTATGCCTAGAAGATGTTACTATCATACGGCAAGCCTGGGATGCTTTATATCATCAGGTTACTCCTT